TATACACAATTCCACAATTAAAAATTAGACGTTTACTGTACACCAGATAAAATGATTAAAAATAACTTAAAATCTAATTACAATCTAGTTTCAGAGACTTCAATACCACCAAACAAAATCTAGCCACCTGGGAGGTAATCTTGGGGTTCTTATGAAATAGAAGATAACCAAGTCTAGCTTTTTCAGTGAGACCATGGATTTTGTCTAATAAAGGGGTAATAATCTTGCCTTGTGCTTCCTATTATAATATGGACAGCTCGATGGTTCTCTCAATGTCAGACAATGCTTTGCAAATGTGTGTTTGCACAATACTCTTTCAAGTTCCAGTGACTTGGGGGTGTGGGTGTGGTGAGGACATGCCAGAACTCCAGACCTAGGGTATTTTTAATGTACATTTTACAAAATGCATTGCTGGTGTTTGAAATAAAGATCACTGCCCTCATAAAATAATGATGCAGATTTTTACAAAAAACCAAAAAGAGACCCAGGTTGAAAAACGTTCCATTCTTTTAATTGAAATCATCATTTATACAGACGGGTTTGTAGTAGATAAAAATAGACATTTGTTTCACAGATTATACAAGCCAAGCTTTTGTAGCTCTGATGTGTTAGTACATGATTGCTACACAGCTGTGATTTCCCCCCCCCCAGAATCTTTCATCATGCTCAAACAGTGCTGGACAGAAACTGACATCCCAAGTGGAAGGTTTGTCTGAGAACTTTGCAAGGTTAAAGTGCATAGAAGAAGGGGGGGAAATCAGCACTTCTGAAGGCTGCTGGCGTCAATCACCAACAAGCTTTAGTGTAAACTGCTCTGCTACCCAGAAATGGAAGACATCCATCCATGCACCGTACGCAAACCATTTTAGCCACATTGCAAAAATCCACTGGGGAAAAAATGCAAGACTGGAGGGCTCAGGGTTTACAGAACAGAATTTCAAAATAATGTTCAGTAGATGGTGGGTGATGAAGGAATTAAACGGTTTCTTGATGTACCAGAAAAGGGCATCTCATATATATAAACAAAGTACAAATACAATGCAAAGATGATCATGCAGATTAACACCAATTGCAATTTAGTCACTTTATTTCAGCAAAGTCTCTCTTTTGCTTACAATGGGAATCACAAGACTTTGCACAACTGCGGGAATCCTACGAAAGTCCCACTGAAACGAATGGAGGTGCAAACAGTGGGACTGCTAAGTGGGGATTATTCCCAAGTGTATTAAGTCAACTGCACACTTTGCATTTCGGAGCACCTTCTTCAATGTGGGAGTATTTCATGTTCAGAAAAGCTACACATAATGCTAAACATCAAGGGGGAGGCAGGCATTCTTTAATGCTGGTGGAAACTGTCTGTGTAATGTTTAATCCAGCTGCTTGAGGTAGAATTACTACATTTCTCTTGTTTTGTGCCATGTATGAAATGATACATTTGGACAGATCTATCCCAGTACACCCAGTTGTTGGAATACCAGAAGACAAACCCAGCATGCAAGTGTCCAACAAAGTTCAACTCTCTTGAATGGCCACCTATCTTTCAAGGAAATCAAACACTCAAAAGAGGAAAACGTTCAAGCCACTTTTTTTGAACTATACTGAAATGTTCCCCACCCCCAACTAGTCTCTACAATATAAACCACCAACGTACAAAACAGAATACCATTTAATTGTATTTTTCTAAACTGGATGCACCTTCCCATTGTGCAGAGGTGTTAAAGGAAAATTATTGGTTTGGAGTGTGGTATTTCTCATATGAGCTAGTAGGATATATTATACAACCTTAGATGACTGATTCAGGTATGTACACAACAGTGTTCTCCATTTCCATCTCTGTCAATAGCACTACTGTGTGCTAAACTATGTGTAGAAACGCGGCCTTTGACATTTGCACAAATAAATATAAAGGTAATCTGGATTAAAAAGGCTGATAAATCTGTTCAAACACCCACAAGTATTAGAGATGTAGAAAGGTATTAATGCTTTCAAAACTATGTAAACAAGATGGGGAGTGGGGGAATATGAGCCAATACAAAGCTGAGAAATCTGGTTAGAAAAGGACAAAAACAAAACCTTCCACCAATGAGGAGGCCATTCTAAGAAATGATTTGTTATCAGTGTTATGGAAGAGAGAAACACACACTTACAAGTCAGTGTGTGAAAGCCAAACGTAGTGGTAAACTGAAACCGTGGCTAGGTTAGGATTTGGCCTGCGCATTTTAGTTATGAGCACAACCCTGCAGCCATCTTGGGGCTTCAAGTGACTCAGGACAGTTAGTGTCATGATATATGTTTGAGAGCAAAGAAAAAAAAATGATGATGTCAGAATTCCCCAGAAGCCAGCTTCGTTGGGGGCCTGGGCCAGGATTTGAAACAAAGTTAATGAAAACAGGTAAGGGGGAAAAAAATCTAGTATGCCTACTCAAATTCTAATATAGCAGAAACAAATGTTTGAGATCAATGACAATATTTGCAGGTACTGTTGGACCCAGCTCTCAAGGTCTCTCAGTAAGCTTGTTTCTTGAAGAGACAGAAAACTTATATTCACTTCTAAAAGGCATACAATGTAGAACTTGTTTTGGACTGACTCAACATGAGGTTGCCTCCAGGCCAAATTCCAAGTCAAAACACAAAAGGAAGGTTAGGTGGCGGGGTCCTCTGTATTTCTGTGAGACATACTTCAATATGTGCCAAACATAATATTTGAAACTACCTGTAAACTGCTCAGAGACCCTTCGGGGTCAGAGCGGGAAATAAATCGAATGTATGAATGAATGAATGAATAATCTCCATATTCAAAAACATTCCCAGGGACTCCTTGTTGGGCCTATTCAGACCACTCTAATGAAGGTACCCTGGACAACCAACTGGCAGTAGGGAAAATTTGTCCCTGAACAATATCCCTGGAGAAAAACCTGTGCTACTCTGAGATACACTTTTCACAAATTCTTAATGCTATCATTGCTCTGATTTTTAATGCTGTCAATATTCACATCCCAGTGAACTGTGCCATGACTTTACAACCACTAGATCGAAGAGTGGGGCAACACAGTCAAAACTATTCAACAAAAAGGTGGTCTGCGTAAATTTCAACACATGCCAGATTAACTGAGCATGTGGTTTTCAAATCGCCGGTTGTATTACATGGCACTGGAGACTCCTTGCTGAAACTCTCTTGCCCAATTTTTCATATTTAATATACTTCAGTGGAGTCAAACATCCTAATTATAGCTTTTAACATTCCATAAAGCCAAGACACAAGGAATTGTGGGAAGCAGAGACATTATATCACTATTGTATACAAGGATTAATAAAAAAAGAGAGAGTAAAACTCGTAAACGTTGAACACAGAATTCTTTCCCCTTTGCCAGCTGCCAGAAATGCACACCAAGTGCATGAAAAAGCATATCTATATGCATACAGCCTGGTAGAAGGGGTTTTTTTTGTGTGTGAATTCCTTTGGTCAAGAAAGGCTAAGTTGTGGGACGCTACCATGCATTCTCTTTCTGTTTCCAAATTCGTTGTAGGAGAGATTCACCTTCTCAAAACTTTGTATCAACTGTGATTTGTGAAGGATAAAAGTATTTAAGCTGCGTTCACACAATATGGAGGGAAGGCATTTGCACCGTCACCTCCCCACAAACTGCCTTGGGGATCTAGACATTGAAAAAGCAGTTCAGGGATTCCTTGGGGGGGCAGCTAACTCAGAGGGAAACTTTCAGAAAAATTGTGCTTGTGACTGCAAGTGCATTCCACAACTCTAGAGCCAGCTTGGATCTGAAAAGCAAGTGTGTTTTCTACCAAGGAACAGGCATTTTGTAACTGGACCAAGCATTATCTCCCCCTTCCTGGGCCCCTAAAAGGGACATTAGACTCAATTTTCATAGTATTTTGGGCAGAAATCCTACAGAAGGATACAAACAGACAAACAAAAAAAAGTATGGCAACTTGATCAGCCTGAGAGCAAGTCTACCATTGGAAATGAGATTCTGTGCTCATCTTGGAGTGCCTGGCTTTGTTAACTGAGGGAAATATCTGGCCCAGAACTACTATGCTGTTCTGTTACTTAAAGAAGACTCCTTCAGGGTCACTAATTTCACACCCTCCTTAAATCAGTAGTAGAAGGAACAGTAAGCCAGTCCAGTTCAGACAGAAAGCTGCGGGATTTGCTTCCACACTTAGCCTCCGTTTCTACATTCAGAATAACCAAACAGGTAAAGCTTTCTGTGGGCTGGATCATTTCAGGCTGTAGTTTGGGAGGGGTGCATTGCAAGTCCCACGGAGAAACAGCTCTCTGCACACAGCTTGTCAGCAACAGTTCAGCCAAATTTTCCCCCATGTATGCTACATTTCTAAATGCAGAGAGGTTTTTCTCTACCCCATCCCCTTGCAACTCCCTACCTGACGCTCAAAGTGTACAGCCCAGACAAAGCTTTTAAAGCTTTTGCTTAAATGTAGAAACGCTTCTTGACACCAAAGAATTTTTGCCCTTCTACTGGGAAGTGTACACATTCCAACTGCAGACCTACTGGTCCCCTTCTATTAGACTGGAGTGTCACCTACAAATTGAATGCCCTTTAGGACTTTTAAAAATATATATATCATCCATTAATGGGACATATCTAGTTGGAATAAGTTTGTCCCTTGGTGAAACCTGAAAGCATTTTTTTTAGAGTTTCCAGTTTGCGTGCCGCATTCTCCCTGAAAATCTGGTTACTACAACAGCAGCAATTACATATTTCCATAATGCAAATGTAGAGATGATCAACAATAAAAGAACAGCCTAAATAGTTCTCATTGTGTACATCCATTAACACCATTACACTACAGTCTTAATGCTCTGTGCCAAACTGCACATACATTGGTATTTGTTCACACAGTAAACCATAGAAACGCACTGGCCCTGATGGCTAGCTGCTGTGGACACAGACAGACCCAGTATTTTAATTAACTCGCACTGGAGACGGCTCTTCAGTAAGCAAGGATCTCGTGACTCTTACCGTGTGCCCACAGGCCAGGAAGGAGACCCCAAGAGCAATTAAACACTGCCAACTCTGAGGGAGAGAGAGAGAGAGAAATCCCGAATTAGTTGTGGGTTTATGTGTGTACGTTTGTTTTTTAAAAAGAGAAACGCAGACGTCTGGCTGCTGCAACATATTTCTGGCCAGGGGCGTGGCCAAGGTGGGGCATCATGGGGCCAAGCCCCCTAACTCAACACCCATGCCCCACAAGTTCCAACAGTCAGGTAGGTGTGTGTGGGAGGTCTTCTCCCTGCTTCTGCAACCAATTTTGGCTGCAGAAGAAGGAAGACAACCCAGTGAGCCCGAACCTCTCTGACAGTCAGAGAGGTGGGGGGAGGTCTTCTCTCACCCCCCTGCTTCCCCACCCCCTGGACTTCCCAACGCTCCACCACCCAAAATTTTCTGGCTACACCCTTGTTTCTGGCAGCCTACAATACTGATCTATTGAGCACTCTCCCTGTGTGTCCAAGGCACTTCCCCCCAAACTGCTGGGGCACCCCTTCTCCTTCTGGTTGTCTTCCCTTACAAGTCATGCCCTCTCAATGCCACCGTGGAGGACAAGCACCAGTCAGGATTGGGGCAGGGGTATCTGATTCTGGTGGCAGTGGAGGAAAGCCCCGTCAAGTCACAGACAATTTATGGCAACCCTCGTAGGGTTTTCAAGGCAATAGATTGATTCTGCCTTCTGAGAAACAGAGGAGGCTCAGCCAGTCATTTTAAATGAGGAGCCAAATCTAGTTTCCCAGCTGAGGAAACCTAAGCTTGTTGATTAAAACTCAAATAATTAATTACTTTATTCAATATATTCAATATTTATTTATTTAATCCATTCAATATACATATTAATCTTTTGGTTTTAGATTTAGATTTATTTATTTTTTAGACCGGCTGAACCAACACTTTGGAACAGTCAGCCAGATCTGGCACAGAAAGCTCCGACACGCTCTTCCTTCCATAAAAGGTGAAAAGAGGAATTATTTTGAGGTGCCTTTAACGGAAGTAACTAAGGAACTTCTCTGGCAGCTGGGAGACAATGTTGTAGTTTTACCTTGATTACCTTTTAATGCGTGTGTTTAACTATATTTTAAATTGGGTCTATATTCTATAAGATGTCTTGGGCATTGTGGAAAGGCGGGATATATATATCATCCATTGATGCTTCGCTGTTAGCTTCTTACTTATCAAGCCTGTGAACTGCACCTGTGTTTTGTCTACTGTTCGCCTGGTTCCCAAGACTTGAGCAGGCAACCGTTTTCTCCTGCCCGCCAGCGGGAACGTTATCCATTGGTTGTGTATCTAACTTGAATCCCTTTATCATGTCTGCCCTAACTGCTTGTGTTCAGTTCTAACAAAGAACGTGTTTGAGTATCTTTCCAATGCTTTGAAATAAACTTTACTTTCTTTGAAACGTGGATTTATTCTCGATGCTTGGGGATCCAACATATATAAATATTAAATAAATAAATAAATGATGCATGTTTGTACATTGCAGCAGCCACCATCTTAGACAGGAGGGCTTCTCCAAACAGGGCCCTTATTACCAGTCTGTATTTACATAGCAGATTTATATACTGTGTTTTTTAAAAAGTCTTTCGAACACAGCACTAAAGTAGTCAAACTACAAAAAAATTACATGACATTATAACAATATTCACACACACACACACACACATACTATTTAAGTTATAAAAATCCACAACCAAGATGATAAATGACCAGGGACATAAGAGCTATCTTCCAAAAGCTAGTCAGTTGTCATTCATCTTATGGAATACCTGATGAAACAGAGTCAGGTAAACAGCCCACTTTTTTTAAAAAAAAAAAAAAGGTTCAGCCAATTACAAGGAAGCAGTTTTTCACTGATCAAAAGTTTTTTTTTAATTGACTACTCTGACCAATCAACTCCATTCATTTACCCAGAATTTTAAATCAATCATGTGGGAAGCTAACAATATTAAAAACATGAGAGAATGAAAAATGTAAACATTTGGGGATCATGAGATATAGGCCAGATTTCCAAGGGAACTGTCAGCTCCTTTTTTTACCCCCACAACACTGTTTCTGCGTCAGCTACCACCACAGTACTGATTTAGTTCCCCCTCTCACTCCAATTTGGTGTAGTGGTTAAGTGCGCAAACTCTAATCTGGGAGAACCGGGTTGATTCCCCACTTCTCCGCATGCAGCTGCTGGTGTGACCTTGGGCCAGTAACAAGTTCTCTCAGAGTTGTTCTCTCACGAGCAGTTCTCTCAGAGCTCTCTCAGCCCCACCTATCTCACAGGGGGACTGTTGCGGGTAGGGGAAGGGAAAGGAGACTGTAAGCTGCTCTGAGACTCCAGGGTATAAACCCAATCTCTTCTTCTTCTTCCCTTTCCCAGTGTATTTTTTTTTTTAATTACTCATCTTTGTGTGTATGGCTCTGCCTCCAGCAGCAGGCAGCCATTTTGTGGTTGTGCCCACCACCCTGTGTCAGAAGGTGTCCCCCAGCTCAAAAGTGGGGGACTCCTGGGTTAGGAGTCTGCAGAGGGGAGGGTGATCAACAATG